TTGAGGTATACTGTATATGTTATGCTGTGGTTGACGTATACTGTGCATATTATGTGGTGGTTCAGGTATGATGTGAGGATTACACAAAGGTTGATATATGCTAGGCTGGTTCTACTATGGTTGAGGTGGATTATGTTTTGGTTGATGTATGGTGGGCACAGTATGCTATTGCTATGGTATGCTGGGCAGATTGCACTGTGGCTGAAGTTGTACATAGAGGATTTTATACACTTAGCCCTTAAGAACTTCAGAGAAGATAAACATCTCATATATATTCAACTCTATCATTTAGTGTAGAGTAACAGAACAGGCATGTTGTCTACAGTAACAGAACAGGCTGTATCTATTATGTAAGTATTTTGAAGGTACAGTGGGAGGTACTTCCCTGTCCACCCCTCCAAGCCTCTAGTGGCTTAGAAGAGATTCACAGTGAAAGTAGAAAGTAGAAGTCTTTAGTAAAAAGGCCACCTCTACAATACTGCTAGCTAGTAAGTTAAAGGAGAACTATGGGGTTAAGGCTTTTCCCCATAGTTCTCCTTAGGGTAACGGGAGGACACAAACTAGCGTCCTCCACCCAGCTGCGTGACTGACAGCTGGCTCTGCCTATCAAGAGGCAGAGCCAGCTGTACCCGCCCCCTCCCCCGTCCGTTCCGCCAGTCAGCGCTGGTGGATCGGAGCAGGGAGGGGGGAATCCAGCCCCTCCCACGGCAGAGAGCCGTGACAGGATCGAGAGGTGAGCGAACGCCGCTATGTGTTCGCTCAGCTCCCGATCTACTGAGCCGACCAGTGACAGTTTCATTGTCACAGGTCGGCTAGAACTATGAGGAGAGTGAAAAGCACTCACCTCATGGTTCTACTTTAATAGAAAAACACAACGTTGTTACAACAGAGTAACAAAAATATTGTGGGCTTTAAATTCCTTACCTTTGCGAGGTAGGTCATGAAAACTAGCAGGCTATCTGTTACAACAGGTTGGATTTGCTAAATCTATTCTCATGCTGAAATTGACTGAAAATAAATATGAAAAATAGGACTATAATTTATAATTATTATATTACAAAAAATATAAATACATTGCAAATTGATCATTTGGTTGTAACCCAGCTTGGAGAAAGATAATGTTACTATTAAACTCCAAATACATACCAGTATGTATTAGCTAAGTGGACACTCTTGTGCCTTCTGCTCCTTATTTTAAAATACACACATTCAAACACAGAGTTATATATATGTATACAGGGTTACAACATAGAAACTTAGCCCTAAAGCACACAAGTCATTTATAGTAACATATGCAAGTTCAATTAAATATTTAAAAGTTTGGCTGTGTTCCACAGATTTTAGCAGATTTTCCACTAGGAGTAGTGTTAGTTGCTGTTTCATTGCAGCTCCACTTAGGCATACAGACACACAAGATAAAAATCTACATAACCTATTGTGTCTAAAGCTATAACCAATTTAAACATAAATGGCAAATGATAGCCTATCTATAACAGAATATGAATACATTCCTCTTTAACGTGAATACAGAAAAGCAAGACAATGGTCACACTTAATTTACACAATTTTTTATGGAACAGGAGATAGCAAAAATATTTAGATGGTAATATACAAAACATCACTCAACATTCCAAGATATCATCTACTGAAGGTTTGCTCATCCTAATGAAACATTTTTTTTACAAGTTAAGGATATCTTTCCTTTACAAACTGATACATTGGGAACATATCCAGATGTTGAAACTGACATACAGTATAAAAGGTGACTGCAAGCTCTATGTAAACTTCCCATTAAAATATGCATAGATAAAGAAAAAATGCAGGCTATGTAATTTATTCATGCTTGACTCTGCTGAGAAGAAAATATGTTATTCTATTAGGAGCCATGCAGTGCTAGCTTCTTCCTATCATTTATCTATGATGAACTAATAAACAATGGATGGGTTATTAAAACAGCCTTTTCATTAGTGACAATATTCAAGGTAAGAGCAACAGAACAAATGCTTTAAGTGGGTAGCTTTTAAATTGAGAAGTTATAACTGAGTGGAGTGATCAAGGTGAAGACACTGGGGGGTACAACAAACAAACATCCATATGAGCTACCATTGCATTGCTAAAAAAGTTGATTTGCATGTTAGCTTATATAACATTTATGAAGTGGCTGAGCCATATAAAGATCGAAAATCTAAACGCTACCTGGATAATGTCGGCAGAACCACATTGCCATATTTGCATATATCTAT